GGGGTGACGGGGACTGGCGCCCCCTCCCCGCGGGACCCCGAACTGCCAGCCGCTGGGCGGTTCAAGCTACCTTCAGGCCCAGAGTGATCCAGGTGCTGACAGCCACCCTGGCACTGTGCACCTCCCGGGGACTCACGGGCCTGCTGCATTGCCAGAGCAAGGCCAGAGTTACTCCTGGGGGAGAGCGGGCCTGAGCTCTGGTGGACAGGTGTCCCTGTCCCGGGTGGGGCCTCAGCCTGAGTGTGGGGCTGTGTAGGCTGCGGTTCTGCTTCCAGAAAGTTGGTGGCTTGGATCCCACTGAGACCCAGACTGCCTGGGTCCCCCGCCCAGCCTGGCAGCCTTTGCAGGAGGGGAGATGCTGGCCACAGTCCTGGCCCCTGTGCACCTGCTCTACAGCTGTGGGCAACTCAGATCCCCCGGGAGCTCGGAGCCCAGGATTCCCGCTTGTGCACTGGGCACCTGACCGTTCTTTCCGCCCACACAGTGCCTTGCTGCGACCACAGATCCAGAGACAGAGGCCTCTCCTGCTTCTGGCCTTGGGCAGCCACATGGCCACAGTGGCCAGGAGGGATGGTGCAGGGCCCCAGTGGACCGAGGGTAGAGGGCACTGTCCCCACCTCCTTGCAGATTTGGTTGTTTTCATTACTTTTGTTTTCTAAACACTAAAGAAATTTTTTTTCTTTAATGGAAGACCGGGGATGGAACTCAAGCCCGTGTGCACCCAGACAGAGCCAAACCCCCAGCCCAAGAGAGTCTCCTTTAATAAAGGACACGTGGAAACGCCGAGAAGGTTTAGCAGAGGACAGACCGGCAAGCTGCTTCCCAAGAACGTGCGAGTTTGGTGTGATTTCAGGCGTCTGGGGCCTAGGTGTGACCATGTCCAGTGCTCACTCAGAGCCTGCTGAGTGCACACATGACCTTGTTTGATCTCTGCAAGGACCCCAAGCCCTGAGCGATCCATCCCTGCTTTACAGATGGGAAAGAAAAAAACACCAGCTTAGGAAGCACCCGTGGTGGAGGTTGGTCGGGCCTGGGTGCTGAGGAACCGGAACTGGGTGCGGCCCTCAGGGCTCCTCTTCCCTGAACCCTGCGGCTGGGTGCAGCTCCGTAGTCTGGCACTAGCCTCACGCATGAGGCCGTGGGCTCCATCCTCAGTGTTGCAAAAAACAGAAAACAATGGTGAGCGGAGCCGCGGCTGTGACAGGTGAGCCTGCTGCAGGCCAATGGCGGGGCCTGGCCTGGCCCAGTATCCGGAAACACCAGCCTGGCAGCGAGGTGGAAATGGCCAGGAGCCTCTGCAGACAGAGGGCGGGCCGCGGAGGCAGAGTGAGGGGCCCCCAGATGGCCATGCACCCCAACACAGCTGTTTTCCTGGGGTCTGTGTAGCCAGGGGAGCATGGGGCTGTAACGGGGCCATACACCCAGGCACCCAGCCAGGGAAAAGCACAGGCACGTGGGGCGGCTTTCTCAACATGCAGCACAGCCCCACTGTGTGAGCCTGGGCCGCTCTGTTCTCCAGCGATTTGACACCACCTCAGACTTCCTGTGGCCGGCTCCAGTCCTGACCTTGTGCCTGGAGACCCTGCCTCTCCGCTCCTCTCTGCAGTGCTGGCTTTTGCATGTACCCCAGGTGCTGATGGCCTTCTGCCCCAGGCCCTTTGCTCCTGCTGTGCCACTGTCTGGCCCTGACTGTCTGAGGCCAGCCCCATTGCCTCTGTGGGGCTCTGCCCAGCATCCCTGGCCCACAGTCCCTGTTATAAAAAATACGGCTAGGCCAGCTGGCCTCCCCACCCCTCATTTGTTGTGGGATAGGAAGCCAGGCTGTGTCTGTCTCAGCACTGCTCCTGGCTTTGAAGCAGTTCCCAGGGGCAGCAGAAACCACCTGAATGGGGACCCCATTCCTCGGGAGGCCCCAGCCATCCCTGCTTCCCACTTCCAGGGGCTGGCAAGAGGATCTCCTGACAGCACAGGAAACTCTTCATTCTCCACGAAGACCCTGATCCCAACTCAGGGCTATCAGGAAAGTGGAGTCTTGCCTCTGGCTCATATCCAAGCAGCCATGATGGCCCAGTGAAAACACCACGTGGACCAGATGCAGTGACCCATGCTTGTAATCCTAGTTACTAGGGAGGCTGAGGCAGGAGAGTCCCAAGTTTGAAGTCAGCCTGGGCTACTTGACAAGATGCTGTCTTAAAAAGGGCCAGGGCATATGTAGCTCAGTGGCAGCACACTGGCCTGGTGTGAGGCCATGGGCTGCTTCTCCAGGACTGCAAAACAAAACAGAACACACCAATACTTAACGGGAAGGATGGAGCGGGGCTCTCCCCAGAGGCTGAGGCAGAGCTGGCAGCTGAGGCCCCGGCCCACTGCCCCCAGCCCCTGTCCTGTGCAGGCTGCCCGAAGCCTGGCCTGGAGTAGAAGTGAGACCAACTGACCACAGTGGCTGACTGAGGTCTTCTCTTCCCATCTCCGTGTCCCTGAAAGGGACACGTGTGGCCTGTGCCATTTTGGAGCAGTGACTCCATGGCCTTGGGCACAGGCTCCTGAGCTCTCCTGCTCCACTGGACCCTACTAAGGGTGAGCACTACCTCCCTCCATCGCTGCCCAGGGCCGGGCCCAGCCCAGCAAGTGCTGCCATTTCTGCCAAGGCCTGACCCCAGCCTGGGACAGCAGCCCTCCCTCCGCATGAGCACAGGGTTTGGTGCCCACTGCACGTCCAGCCTGGTACAGGTGGGGGCTGCCATTCCACAGCCCACAGGGTGCAGGAAGCACCCAGGACACAGGTGGCCCCCCTGAGATAGCAGGCAGGGAGGCAGGACCCCCTCCCATAGCCTCCCCATCCTGTCCCCCAGCCTGGTGAGTGGGAGACAGTGGGTGAGGTCACAGCCACCCCTGAGCCCCTCTGTGCCCCCATCTGGCAACTGCCCTTTGGAGCCATGGACCGGCCAGTCCTGAACCTGCGAGTCTGACCACCACCACCATTGGGCTGGGTCCTTCCTGGCTGGAAGTCGGCTGCACCCCTAGTGTGGGCAGGCGAGTGTGCAGTAGTGCCCATGCTCAGCCTGGGAACTGACTGAGGTATCTGAGAAAGCCATGCCAATGCCCCGGCACAGCTGAGCCCTTGCCTCTTCCCGGGGTGAGCAGGGCCCAGGGGCACAGAGCCAGCCTGGCACCCCTTCCCCCATGCCTGCCTTAGAGCCAGACCCTGCCCACCAGGGCTTCCGTCCTCACTGGGGAGACAGACCCAATAGAAACACACCAAAAGGGCCAGGGACTTAACTCAGTGGCGCCACATCTGCCTCACAAGCTCAAGGTCCGAGTTCGCTCCCCGGTACCAAAAAAAAAAAAGAAAAAGAAACACACCGAAGTTTGGCGTGGTGGCACATGCTGTCATCCCAGCCCAGGCAACTTAGTGACTTAGCAAGACCCTGTCTCAAAATTTTAAAAATAATTTTAAAAAGGGGCCGAGTGTGGCAGAGCCCCCTGACTGAAGTCAGAACAGGCTGGAACATGCAGCAGGCACCCCCCCATAATTGGCCACAGTGTATTGGGAGCCGAATTGAAGCCTACGTGACCCCCAGCAGCAGCTGTGAGGGACACCTAAATCCCAGTCTGTGCAGCTGCAGGGCTCCTAAGTGAGGTAACTGCAGCCGGGATTCTACGGCTCCAGACCACACTCCACTCCTGCAAGCGGCCATCCCTCAGAGCTTACCGATTAACAACAGACCACGTTTGGTCTGTTCTGCTCTGTCTGCAAGAATGCCTTGCCCCCCTTTTGTAAGCCTGCCTGTGCCGGCTGATGTCACTGGATGCCACACATATCTGCCGACCCTGCTTCACTCCTGCTGTCGTAGTCAGTGAATCCGGTAGGCCTGGCTGCTTGGGGTCCTCATCACATGCCTTACGTGGTCCATCCAGGTTCCTCATTTTGCTGTGAATCTTTATGTCTTCTTTTCACCATGCATCGAAGGTCTTGCAGGAGAGAGAGACTCTAAGCTGGGGTCCTCGACAGCTGGCGATGTAGCTCAGTGCCTAGGTTTGATACCTAGGAAGAAAAAACAGGAATTAGGCCGGCAGTGTGTGATATGCAGCCAGCACAGCAGCGGGGTGGGGAAGAGAGAAGACAGCCTGGGAGCCAGGACTCGATGGGGACCTGGAGAAACGGCAGGACTGCGGGGAGGGTCAGTGGTGCCATGGTGGTGAAAACCAGCACTGCAGTTGCTCAAGGAGCGCGGAATCAGCGCGCGGCCAGAATCCCACTCGAGTGTGCACTGGCGGACTCGGTGCAGGGCCGGAAGCCACTGCACACACAGCGTCACAGCCACAGGCCCAGCAGGCAAGGCAGGAATAGTGCACACATGGTGTGGCCATCCACACGGCAGTGTCAGCAGGGCACCTGCTCCAGGGAGGCTGGCCGGGTTCGGGACAGTGGCTATGGACGCTGCCCACCCAAGCCCAACAGCAGCCAGATCTGTGCAGGCGGACAGTAGAAGCCGGGTCAGCGTTTCTGGAGACGAGTATCCTTCGGGAAAGGCCAAGGGCTGTGGGTCTGGGTGGGGATGGCCGTGCTGCAGGGGGTGCGGACTCCATGCTGCAGGACTGTGTGCCTGGAGGTGGCCACACAGATGCAAGAGGTGTGAACTTTCGCCACCACCCAAGGCCTGTGCAGCCTGGAGTGAGGCACGGGCACCAGGCCCTGGGGACACCTCGTGAGGACAACAGGTCACAGGTCCTAGCGTTGCTTCCTGGGTCCCACAGGGTGGAGGTGGCAGTGAGGGGACCCAGAGTAGGGCTGGCAGCTGGCCCTCCAGGGAGGAAGGGGGACAGGAGGCTGCTCCCCAAGTCTTGAGAGTAAACAGCCCAGCTGGACAGGCTGGGAGTGGACGACAGGGGCCATCTTGACGTTGAGTGAGGTTCCCAGGGGCCCAGCATCACCCCTCCCAAAGCCCAGGCTAGTCCACACTCCTCCCAGTACCTTCTGCACCCCGAGGTTCCCACCTTAGCCGCCGCCTCCCTCGCCTGTGGGCTCCAGCGCCTGGTGCACAGAGCTGTTGGGAGCAGAGCTCCTTTCCCCACTGGCCACGGAGTCAGAACCCACATGTTCTTCACAGGCCCCATGCCACCCGACACACTAGTGCTACGGGCACTTTGGGCTCCCACTAGCCATCAGCTACGGGCAGGAAATGGTCTGTGCCACCCACTGGCTTCTGCCGACATGGGAATAAGGCCCAGGAGCACCCTCAGGTCCCGTCAGGACCAGGTCCCAGGAGGAAACGAGGCCTATGGTTGGTGAGGGTATTGTGGGGCTGAAGACTTTCCTCAGGGCACGGCAGGGTGGACGAGGGACACCAGTCATCCAGGGTGGCTAGGAGCAGCAGGACGACACAGACACGACGGGACGTGCAGGCCGACCCCGACCTCTGGCTGCCCCTGCCCTGCCACGGAGGCGGCCCCCGCCAGGCAGCTTCTCCGCCCTGTCTGGGGCTCAGGGGCAGATGACACCCCAGGCACATCAGCAGGAAGAGATACCAGGCAGTGGGGGGCCGGGAGGAGCCCACGCATCCCGCATGACCTGCGGCTGGTGGGTGAAGGGCAGCAGACACACCAGGGCCACGGCTGCCACCTCTTGGCAGTGGTGTGGGCCAGGCAGCCTCCACTCCAACCTCTGCCTGGATGCCAGGTCAGGGCCACTGTCCCACCTGTCCCCCGAGGTATTACCTGGAAGGAGCTGGTCCTCCATGCTCACCCCGAAAGACTGAACTTCTGCGGGGTGTGAGCAGGTACACCCCGCACAGTGCCAGGGAGGCCAAGAGGCGTCTTCCTGTGTTTTACACACAGCTGCGGACAGATGGGCATCAGGGATACTGCTGAACCCATGCACCACTGTGCTTCCCAAGCCCAGGGCAGAGCCTTCATCTTTATAATGCTTCACCCCCCAAGGACCAGGGCGGGTGGTCCACTGGGTCGGTTTCTGCCCATCCGCTCGAGTGGGCGCCCGGTAACTGTACTGCCCAGGTGTCAAGGGGACCCTGGCAGCTCAGGAGCTGGAAGCCTGCAGGTGCTGGCAAGGACCCAGAGCCCCCACCACCCACTGTGGCTTGCAGACCAGCCAGGCAGCGGGCCACCCCTCAGTGTGGGCCCATGAGGATGCAGTGAGGCTGCCACCTGGGGCCTCCAGAGGCCTCCGTCAGCTGGAGCTGAGGGGGTGCTGCCACAGCTCAGCCTGGGCCCCAGATCCGTCATGGGCAGAAGACCCCCTGGCCCTGGTCCCGGAGGGTGACGGGCGCACTTACGGGCTGCAGCCATCCCGCAGTGTGGCCATCTGTGCCCTCCACACCAGGTGAGCCATGATCCCTTTCGCTGAAGAAAACTGGGTGAGTATTTTGGTTTCCTGTGAGCAGCTGCAGGACTTCCCTGGGCCCGGGAATTAGGGCAGCACCGATTTGGTCTCTGCACGCCTCCCCTCAGCTCAAATTGGATGCTCTCATCTTCTCCCTCTTTTGTCCTAAATTTCCCTCCACCGCTCAGTGCAGCTGTGCAGCAGCTGCCACTGCCTCCTCCCAAGAAGGCCTGCCATGACTCACCTCCTCCCAGGGGGACAGCAGGGCCGGGCTGTGTCCTGCCCAGGTGGGCGAGGCGAGGGGACAGAGGCGCCCTTGGCAGGAACTCACTCCCCCAACAGTGCTCTGCGCGAGGGAGCAGCTGGGGGCCCCAGGGGGAGACAGAAGGGTTCCGGGGCAAGTGCTGGTGGCACTGGGGTTCCAAACCCAGTAAAGGGTGAGCTGCATGCCAGACCCTGGGGTCCAGGGGACAGCATCCTCGGTGCCAGCCCCTCGGCGGGACACTGCCCATGGGATGCACCGGAGGGACAGCAGCTCCACCTGCTACCAGCCGAGGGCTGCTACTACCCAAGGGTTCAGCCAGTGCTGCAGGGAGGAAAGGAGGTGCTGGGAGCCTCCCCAGTCCCCACACCGGGGTCCCCCACTGTCCTCTCTGCAGCTCTGCCTGGGCTGCAGGTGCAGACACCTCCTTTCTCTCTACGGAGTCAGACTGGCCCTGCCAAGCACCGAGCCCGAGGAGGGAGGGGAGGCACTGCCGACTCTTAAGGTCACCTTGCACCTTGCTTTAAGGAAGGGTGCCCCCCCAAGTTTTCTCAACCCCCGCCCTTGCTCAGAGAACACTGAGAGGGAGCCCCTGAGGCAGAGGGCAGGGGGCCAGGATGGGAACCGAGACAGTGGGCAGCATGCAGCCGCACACACAGTGGGGCGGCGAGGGTGAACCCGGCCACAGCCCCCGAATCACACCCCAAGTGGCAGCTCATGCAGGGCCAACTCAGGACTGCACACACTGAGGGAGATAATGGTGTTCATTAGGACGCCTGGTGCATTAGGAGCCAGGAAACACACAAATAATTCATGTGCCATGATGTCATGGTGCCGTCGCCAGTAACAGATCGCACAACACCTGGACTCACATCACATCAGGCCCCTCCTGGGCCAGCAGGCAGGGTGGCACAGAGACCCCGGGGCAGTTTCTCAGGAGGACCGTCCACTCACTTGGGGGTCTGCAGAGCAGCTGGCCTGGGAGCACAGAGGGTGTCAGGCCCTGGAGGCAGAGCATTGCCCACGGCCACCTAGCAACCAGACTCTGCCCAGCTGGGCTGAGTGCTGGTCTCATCACCAAGTCTTGAAGACCAGGCCTGGGTGCCAGACTCAGAAGGGCAGAGGTTACCCTTCACGCATCCACTGCAAAATCAGAACCGGAACCTCTTCTGGGTCCGCTGTGAGAGCCCACCCCTGGCCCTGGACTGAAGGCCAGCTGTCCCTGGTGAGGGGCAAGCCCCAGCTGGAGTGCCACGGGTGCCACCACACAGGCCATGCTGGGCCGAGACCATCCCCCGCCACTCCCTGGCAGGTCCAGCATCTCCCAGGGCCATGCCTGCAGCCAGGGCTTTATCGATCTGTGTATGAATATTCATGCCGCATTCAGCAGGACTGCATTAATATTCTGAGAAAGCAGAAAGAACACGTCCTCATTTGAGGAACAAGCCTCGATTCGCAGCTGATGGCCAATACCCTTGCCGGGCCCCGAGCCGGGGGCTGCCCCAGCCCTCCGACCCTTGCCACAGCAGCCTCCTGATCCTGCCCTCCACGCCACACTGTGGTGCCGCCCCTCTCCTTCCTGGAGTCCCTCTTCTCCTCTATTTTTCCTACAGGGCTCCCCACAGCTATGGGGACGTCCAGGGTCCTGTCTTGTCTCATGCAGCTGCCAGCAGAGCTGAGCCTGCCTGTCCCCATTTCCTCCCCACCCCTGTGTCCAGGTAGAATCAACCCAACCCGCGGGCAGGCCACAGAAAGCCCTGGGGGAGTCAGGGTATTGGTCGCCCCTGGGCCAGCGAGTGGACACAGTGGAGCCCACCCTCACACCTTCAGCCCCCAACTCTGGTCAGGATGGCAGGTAGCCACAGCTGGCCTGGCCAGAGATGGGCACAGGCATGACTCCAGCCGGCCTGGGCTCCAGGAGACTCTAGCTGCTTAGGGAGCCCGGGCAGCCTCACCTGCCCCGGGTAGGACGGCCACCCGCCCTCGGGCACAGTGCGGGGCACGAGCCTTGAGCCACACTGCCCTGCAAGGCCCCATGTGACACAGCTGCCAGCAGCTGGGCTCACTGCCCAGCCGGTGGGGGAGGGGCATGGCCGAGTGCTGAATCAGCTGCTCCTCTGACCGCTGGCAGGGATGCTGCTGGGGGTGCTGCTCCCCCTTTTGGGAACTGTGGGAGCTGCGCCAGGCTGCTGGGGATTTCTGGAAAGTGGGTCTGCAGTGCTCCCGCTGGTAACGCCGCTTCCTGGAGCGGTGTGGGGCCAGGGTGGGGCGGGGGTCCTCCATGGGTGGGCTGGGCAGAGAGGGACCCTGCTCACAAACAAGATCAAAAGGGAGCGGAGAAGAGCGGGCGCCTGGCGGTGCCGCGGCCATTCCCTGCTGCAAAGCCCTGAGTCAGCACTCACGAAGGCGCGGGGTGGAGGGGCGCTCCCTCCTTCTGCCGGCAGACGGCTCCCAAGGTCGGAGAGCCCGGCACTGCTGCAGACCTACCTGCTGTCCTTCCCGGTGGGCTGTCCAGGCCTCCCCTCCCCCAGCCCTCACCCTTGGCCACCTTCCGCCGTCATCACACTGGAAGGTCACGGCCATGTCTGTCTGAGTGTGCCTGCATCTGGCCGCTCCATACAGGGGCACTGGGTCTGTCTCTGGAGCCACCTGTCCCCTCAGTGCCTGCGAACGGCGGGTGGCCTCTCCACTGCAAACTCATCACCAGCCTTCACCCAACGCGTTCCTAGGTCCTGGGTGCAGGCATGCCCTGCATGGCGCAGTGGAGGGAAGGAGAGTTGGCTCTACTTGGCACCACTCCCTGCCGGGCTCCGGGCTGCATGCTCCTGCCTGGGCTCCCATCCCTCCTGCTCTGCCCTGGGGGGGCCCCCAGCCCCCTCTGACTCCTGCCCGACAACTCCCCCACCTCGGCCCTTCCTGCCCTCCATGAAGCCAGTGAGTGTCCAGCTCAGCTCCCTGCCTCAGCTGCCAGGGCTGCCCAGGCCGTCCCTGGGGTCCTCCTCCCTCCCTTCCCACCATGCACTGGGCAGCTGGCAGCCCCAAACCTACCCTCCCTGCCTTGCTCGCACAGCTTGGCCCTGGAAGTCACCCCTGCCGTCTCCCATGCCTCTTCCTATTTTGTGGGCGGCCTGGCTGCTGGGGTGGGGACAGCTGAGCGAACAGCTGCTGGGTCAGGGTCCACGCTGTCTCCCGAGGCTGCTCCCTGCAGAGTGGCTGCATGGGGACCTCAGTGCTCCTGTCTACTCCTCTCTGTCCCCACACAGGCCTCCAGAAGGCTCCACTCCCTTCTTTCACAGGTCCTTGAGGGCATATCATCATCTACATGGGCACTGGAGTGATGTGCCCTGGCCCCCAGGAAGCAGCCTCACCTAGCTCCCCTCCCAGTGCAGCACTGCCGCTGCTGAGGTCCCTGGGTCACCCCAACCTCCAGCACTGCCCCGCAGCGTCAGTCTCTGGGAAAGGGTCTGGGTCCACCTCCAGGCAGCCCTGGTGCAGCTTCTCCAGTCATGTGGCCCCCAGGGAGAAGTGCCCGTCAGCCAGGGTGAGCTTCCAGTTATGCAGGGGAGTGCGGTAGCCCTGTTGGGAGTGAAGCACAGCTGCTCCCCGGCCCGAGACCCAGGATGGCACCCCTGCCACCCCAAGGCCACATCGTGCCACCCTTGTGAAAGTCCAGCCACAGGTGGTGCCTTGCCTGGGACCCTGGTCACTCTGGGCCTGGTTGGACAAAGCCACTGCTCAGCATCAGCACAGAGGTGGCCAGACACGAAGTGAGCCACAGCCCACTGGGCACCAGGCAGCCTGAAGGCAGAGGGCCTGGGTCTCATCTCCAGCACTGTAAACAACATGAACGACAGAGAGTACTCCAGACCCTCAGAAAGTGAGGCAGGCCCAGCGGAGCTCTGGGAATGTGGGCATCCCCCGGGGCACAGCCACCACCAGCCACACTGGTCTGCACACGAGCTGGGCAAGGACCACCCCAGAGTGCAAGCAGCACGCACCAGCCTTGGCCCCAGCCCCTCCCTGGCCGCCCAGGAGCAGAAGGTGCAGGAGGAAACTTTTCAGCAGAATCATCTAGAGGACTGGGGGTGAAGCCTGCAGCACAGCCTAGCACAGGGCAGCCTGGGCTCCCTGGCACCACACCCACACACCAACAGGAAACAAACAAGCCCAGCAGCAACGGCCAGGCGGCTCTGAGACAGTCAGGGTTTCTCTTCAGTGACTTTCTGGCCACAGGGGCAGAAATGATCACCTGTTTTGTCACTGAGGTCTTTGTCAGCAAATGAGAAGGGGCTCTGCCCTGCACAGGAGCAAAGGGGGCCTTGCTGGAGGGCGCTGGACACACAGGTGCTGCCGCTGGCTCCCAGTGCTCCCTGGTTCTCCTCGCCTCCACGAGTCCCCATCATCCTGACACAAGGGTAGCAAAGCTGACAGTCCTGGTCCTGGTCCCCGCAAGGCCTCCTCCCCTCAGCGGGGCGACTGCCCATGGGACTCCCCCGATGTGGCCATTGGCTGCTTTTAAGAAATACCCCAATTTTGCAGAGAAAAATGGTTTCTGTTGCCTTTTTGGTTTGTGACTGTATTGTCAGACAAATAAAGACTGTGAGCTGTAAATAATCACTTGATCGACATGTTAAAAAAATAGGTTTAATGCAGGAGTTTCATCTCGTAAAGAATTGAACAGGCACTCAGGACACAGGCAGCAGGGTGTGCAGCATGACAAGGTCCTATCCACACCCAAGGTGGCCCAGCCAGATCCCTCCCCACTGGCCCCACACAAGGGGGCTCTGGCAGCGCTGAGTAACCAGTCAACTAACACAAAACAAAGCTGCTTTGAGGAAAGAGCAGGAGTTAGTGCAAAAGATTCTCGGCAGCGAGAAGTGGGTCCTCCCGGGAGTGCCCCACCTGTCCCCTGGGGGAAACTACACAGGCACTCTGGGGCAGAGCCCTCCCGTCAGGAGGCCAAGCTCAAAGCTAGCTGGAAACAGGAGCACTTTTCAGCCAGTAGGCCTTGCTGTCCCACCTGGTTGGCAATTTTCTAAGTTTCTCTTCAGTGGATGAATCTGTCCCGATTCCCTGGCTCTGGTCTGCCTGGCAGGCAGGGTCAAAGGGACATGATCCGTGCCTAGGTATGGGGAAAACTATTCGAGGTAAAGCAAAGGCTGGCCAACTAGTCATTCTCCCACTGGCCTCATCCCCACTCTGGCGCTATGAACCAGAGCCCCTCACCAGTAAGCTGTGCTGGCCGCCACAGCACCATAACCTCATCCTCCTGGGGCTGGAGCAAGGGGTCCCTACCCAGGATGCTGTAGCAGTGGACAGAGGCCAGCAGCCCTCCCAGATGCCTGCTGCATGCGGCACCTGGAAGGCACCTTCAGAATGCCCAGAATTTCCGGGGCAGGCCTGTCTGAACCTGACATCCCTCTAGGCAGCCAGGTCTAACCCTGGATGCTCTCACAGAGACCCCAGAACTGCCCCAGGAGTTAGGAAGAGGCACTCCTTGGAAGCCCGCATTTTCAGCCATTCACAGCACAGGCTCAACTCCTTGAGATCTGCCCCAGGTGAAGGCAACAGAGCTGCTTGCATGCGGTTGGCACCTGGCTACCTCCCCTGCTTGGGCTGGCCCTGCAGCAAACTGCAGCAGCTCTGAGACACAGCCTGGGATTCAGGACCCACACAGCCCCCTTGGGGTGACAGACAAAGGAGGGTGTCTGTGGCTGGGCCAGAACGCACGCGGCAGTGTGGTGTCACTAGTGGAGCCTGACCATCCCTGAGGCTGTGGTTGAGACCAGGGGCGCACAGGAAGGGGGTGTGCCATGAAGAAACCTCTCCAGATCTGTTCCTGTACCCACTCCCTGTCCACCGGTCTCAGAGCACAGGTAGGACAGAGGAGCCACCCCGCAGGACAACTGAACAAGCACGGTGGGCAGGAGGCCCCAGAGCATCAGCGGGGAGCGGTCGGAGGGTGGGATGGACACACGGATGGTGTAGTCTCAGTCCTTTCGGCTTCTGAATGGGAACGTGTGACGCCAGCCTGACTGCCGATGGGGCAGACACCCAGCCCCACGCCAATGGAACTGTGTCTGGACACAGCTGAGCAAGCCTGGCACCGGCCTGCGGCCCCTCACATGTCCACAAAGACCATGAAGCACCAGCCGAGGCCCCCGACCAGCAGCAGAGTCACGTGGATGCCACGGATGAGCAGCTCGTTCATGAGGTGGAAGTCCACGCGCCGGCGGCCCAGCAGCAGGAGCAGCACAGACAGCTTCAGCTGGAAGCGCAGTAGCACACGAAGGCCCAGGTACTGCAGGCAGAAGAGCACCGCCAGCGCGCCCCAGAGTCCCGCAGTGAACAGGCTGCAGCTGAAGTACAGCAGGAAGCGGATGAAACCGTACAGCCAGCGCGTCTTCACGTACACATCGAAGTTGTTGTACTTGGTACGCACCAGGTGGGAGGCACGCACAGGCCCACAGGCGGCATGCAGGCAGGTGGTGTGCGGGCCATGGAAGGAGCGCACCCGCCGAGGGATGGGTATCACCGGCATCGGACCCAGCGGCAGCAGCGGCGCCAGCTCACAGTGGCTGTGCAGCATCCAGGCGACGGTGAGCCTAGGTGTCGTGGGCACCTAGGCCTGGGAGATGACAGCTGGGGCTTGGGGTAGGTGGCAGCCTGCTGGGAGGGGTAAGGAGAGGACCCGGTCAGTCCCAGGGTATCACAAGGCAACCTTCCCCGTGAAATCAGGCAGGGTCAGGAGGCTCCAGAGGATGCTTCCAGGGGACCCACAGAGTGAAAACCCCAAGTACCTACTCTAGCCACGCTGCCACAGGAGGAGGCAGCTGGGACAGGGGGCCCAGCAGCCCGGGCAGGCCCCCTGGGGGTAGTCAAGGCCCAAACCAACTAGGATGAGAGAAGTGCTGGGGCATCAGCAACCTCTCCTTTCAGTTTTGACTATGCCCATTACTGTCCTGGATGCCGCGTTTTATCCAGGGACAATAGTGCTTGATGGGCATCCACAGAGAAGCAGGACTGAGAGGAGTGACAGGTACTTTCGCAGTCACCTGCTGGGTCTGAATTCTGGTGCTGCCATTTCCTAGGCATGACCTTGGGCAGTTACCTGGCCCCCTCCCCGACGGCTCCTGCTCTGCACTCCCGAGTCTGCCTCAATGGGGGACACCCACTGGGGTGCCCTGGCAAGGAACTGGGCTAGGTGTCAGGGACAGTCCGTTTGCCACGGGACGGCAGCCCTCCAGACTCAAGCCACAGAGAAACAGCACGTAGCATCTGTTTTCACCCGGTGAGTGCCATTTCCAGCTGGCCAGTGATGTATGGATGGAAAAAAAAGGGAGTGTTCAGGATTAATAAGATTGAAGGAAAGTTAGTAACAGTATGGGGGAGGGGACGTGGCCAAGCGCTCTGGCCTTCAGGACTTCAGTCCAGTTCCCCCTCCCGACGGAGGTCTGAGCAAAAGGCCGTTCGACAAGGTGGTAGCGTGGGCCGAGCCCGCGGTCCGTGCCACGGAGACACCTAACGCCCTCATCCCGGCGCAACGCGAGCGCCTGGCAGCAGTAGACGCCGGGCAGCTGGGGTCGCCCGGTGGGTGCTGCTCCAGCATGGGGACAGGTACCCA